TACACTTTATTGATTCACCTTAGCACTTTTACTTTTCTAAAACAGCTTTCAATCCCTTGTAAACGTTGTACTTACCTCAATATTGGTTGGTTATCGTATGCCGACAACCACGGGATGAAAACGAAACGAAGTCGATTTTCCCGCTCAACCTGGAGGACAATTGTACAATTCAATAACTATACAGCCTAGTTCAGACAATGTGTATTTATATATATATCAAATATTTAACTGTTGAAACATTATTAACTTGTAGACAATCTACGATTTGATATTATATCATACTTGATCGTGCCTGTAAAAATGGCATGCATTTTCATGTAAATTTATATGTTTATATGAGAATATACACTATTATTATTATATCATTACTTAGTCAGGTTTCAGTTACCGCCATTAGTGCTGACCGTTCTATGCATGCCAGGTTGTGAAGTGTTGTTATTTTGCTAAGGGGAGATCAAGGATTTGGGAGAATCATTTTCAGAAAAACAGAGTTGTTGGGGAAATAGCCAGCCATTCCCTTGTTACCGTCCCTATCTCTCGATTGCCTATGTTATGTTCGGAGGGATCCTGAGATGAGACAGTGTCAGCGTGTCTACTATTTCCTGAATGAACTCTGCAGTGGGAAGGCTCTCATTCAGTGCAACACTTTAAACTTTCAGTAGGATTTGTCCAGTACAGCGCAGTGCATAAACAACGATTCGGCTTATGTAATGCTTTAAACACATACTGATCATACATCTAATTTCGTGGACCACGCCTTGGTGTACTACACTTGAATAATTGAGGGGCTCACAGCAATACGCCTGTAAACCCTCTAAAGATGAAGATTCCTAGGTGGAAAACCGTCGGAGTATTCAAACTCCGGTAAACACAACCTGCTTATCTCTCGCACCGATAAGCCACACTATGTTCTCATATCAACAGTTACAACCGATCCATCACTACTACACAGGTTTTTTTCTACCACTGCTACAGGTTGCCTACATTTTATAGCCCTATCTGTAACTAGAACCATAGCACATACTTGCAGCTTTTAACGCGCATTTTTTAATTTATCTCTGACTTCTAGTTTTGACGCGTGTTTTCTCGAACCACCTGCAGTAAAACACATCCTTCAATTGATTAAATTCTCCGCATTTCCCGACCATCTTGGTTCCGTTCTCAAGTCTTCCAAGTTTGTGTTACCTAGAAATAACAACAGTTTAGGCGTAGTTAACGCAGCTAAATCCATAACGTCATCCCACAATATGTTCTTTTACGCACCCAGTGGAATTCAAGCTGGAGTTGTGAAGTTTCAGTAGCAGTGGTGCTTGTTTTCATGGGATGCGATTGCTAGCCCCTTGTCCACCCTTCCCTCTTTACCGGTCTAAATACTGGCATCGAGAGGTAAAGGAGTGTGCCGGCCGAGGAACAAACCCGGACCACCGACGCACATATCATTCATGCGGACGAATATTAATATCCTGTTGTCAGCCAACTCCCAGAAACTGTCAATGTCCAGCTCTTACTACGCTGGACCTCACGCTGTCCCTGGAAGACTTTCAGAAACAATTTGTAACAACCAGCGCGAAAGACCAGAACACAGATTGGCGACTCGAGAATCCTTTATTCTTACGCCAATATGCAACCAACAATAAGGTTATTATACACAAGGTTTCTGATAGTTTTCATCTTCCACCGAACAGCGAATGGTGGGACGGTGACTGCCGGATTGATGACTCCTGCGAAAAATGTAGAGTTGGGTTTGAGCAAACAACCATGAATTGATCGTTCAATCTTCAACTACATTGACACTTGTGTAGAAATATTTATCGTGTTCTCTCAGTAATTTTAATGCTTATAGTGAAGTTTGTTGTTACTTATACATTTAACGTTCCAATTTATCTATATGGTGTGAAAAAAGGGTATAAGAGTCAGGTCATTGTCATCTGGAAGTGTCTTTCCGTCTCAAGCACTAGCTGGTAATTTATTCCAAAAGAATTGAGGCTTATTTAAGAAGAAATGCTGCCTGAAAACTAAGTTGTCATGATTTCTAGGACTGTAACTGATGACAGTAGTGGATTTAGTTATTGGCCTAGAGTATTGCAATAGAAGATCACTTAGCTTGTAGTAGAAAATCAGGTTTAGCTTAAGATGCCTTTTCTAGGGTGGTTCAAGTTTTGGTCTATCGCAAAACTCAGCGAAGTTGAGACTACATTCTAAACCGACAGTTCTTCAGGTAAATAACGGTTGCACTCCTAATTTAATCTTGTCATTCTGTCACAGCCCGTTAAAAATAAACGGGCACTATTCTAAAACAGGTCTGACACATACTTTGTACAATTAAACCTTAGTTTCACAACAAAAGGAATAGAAGTTATGCATCCTAGGAGCCTGCACGTTTTGCGTCTGGCATAATCACTTTGTTCAGAGAGGGTTAAGTTGCTAGATCTACGACTGAGTTAAGCATGGCTAGATTTTGGCCATGTACTTCAAGAGTTAGGTCAATGTTATCGTTGTCAATGCAAATCCGCATTTATCAATGTAAAACTCTAGACAGGATCCAGCAACCATGCTGAGGGACTACTTAGCTCAAGACGTATTTAAATAACCATTTAATTATGTTGTATTTACCTCAATATTGGCTAGTTTTCGTGTGCCTGCAACCACGGGTTGAGAACGAAACAAATCCGATTTTCCCGCGCAACCTGCAGGAAAACTGCACAATTCAATAACTATACGGCCTGGTTCAGACAATGAGTGTATTTATATATATATATCAAATATTTAGCTGTTGAAACATTATTAACTTGTAGATTATCTACGATTTGAGATTATATCATACTTGATCGTTCCTGTAAAAATGGCATGCCTTTTCACGTAAATTTCTATGTTTATATGAAAATACACATTATTATTATTATTGTTGTTGAGACGATCACACTTCATGCGTCCATGTTTCAACCGCTTAAATAACTATATAAGTCTTGTGAATGGCCTCTTTTAACAGTTCTCAAGGTTGCTGCAGCACTACATTTCAGCAACGTTGCTAATCTATCCTAGAACCCACAAAAAATTCAATCAAATCCCAAAGCTAACCGGTTTTAGGACCAGCTTTGAGGGCCTGGCATACACAAGTGAAAGAAAGAAAATAAAGAAATTTCCGCTAGACGGAAGTTATTGTCGGAAAAAGTGTTGAATGATTAGTCATTATCGCGGTGACTTCTCGTGTGAACCATAAGAGAATTTTAACTCTGAGTGTTTGTATTAGCCCCACAGTTAATTGTATTCCTGGAAAAATAAATGACATGCATCCTGTCAGTACATTTGTTGGAGCTATAGCAAGAATACTCATGCGTCTTTCATACAGGAATCTGCCAAAGATGTAGAAGCTTTTGATAATATAGAAAAATGATTTGCGAAATATAAATACGTTTACACTAGCTAATGCCATGGTTATACGGCGATCTGCATAGCATTTTCTCTCCAAGATTTGTTGGTACCCATTACTCAACAGAAATCAATTTGGATAAACAGTGGATACCAAGCAGTAAGAGATGATACATAAAATGCACTGAGAACACTTAGCATCCGATCATCTTGGCACAGATCGTCATCAGGAGTGTCGCAGGGTTCTATCCTAGGACCACTGATGTTTTTGATTTTCATCAATGATCTACCACGCCGTCTGAGCTGCCCGACTCTCCTGTACGCTGACGACGTAAAAATATGGAGGGCGATAAAGTGTCCGGAGGACTCAGATAGGCTACAGGAAGACCTAAACCTTCTGGAAGACTGGGCGGTGGCCAGTGGCATGACTTTCAACTTGAAAAAGTGCAAAGTAGTGAAGTTGCGCACCTGTAGACTGCAGAATGCAAGTTACACCCTGTGCAATGAAAGCTTGTCCTGCACAACGTCGGAACGCGACTTAGGTCTAGTTCTAACGGAAAAAATGGACACAAGCGTAAATTACACAGGGGATGTAGCGAGGGCATATGCGGTCATACACTTTACGCATAGACAGTTAGGTGCACTCACTCCTGAGCTCTTTCTAATGTTGTACAAAACATACGTCAGGCCACACCTTGAGGTGCATAATATTATTGCACCCCCAATGCTGAGAAGAGATGCCAACCTCTTGGAAAGAGTCCAACGACGGGCAACAAAAGGAGTGGTTGGTCTCCGAAACAAACCATATGATGAAAGGCTGAAGAAATTAGGCCTGTTCACACTTAGTTACCGTCGGCTTAGGGGGGATTTGATTACTGCCTACAAAATAACAAATGACCAGAATCACCCAAACAAAGGTGTTCTGCCATTGAGTAGGTATAGGCTTCCACGTGGAAATCCCAGAAGGATAGCTCACCAGAGGGCAAGGACCCGGGTGCGCTCCCACTTCTTTTCACTGCGGGTTTGTCGTCCCTGGAATTCCTTACCGGCAGATGTAGCTATGGCACCGTCTTTGGACGCCTTTAAGCGAAGGCTGGACAACCATGCAGCTATACAAGGACTGCATCCAAATGGCCTATCTCCTTAAAATCGCATTTACCAATCAGGGTAGATAATTAAACTCGTCATTTTACTTCTTTACATTCTCTCCCGTCTTACTCTCCTGACAACTTATTAATATTATAATTACTATTATTATTATTACTATTACCGATATATATATTATTCTTCAAACTTCATGAGCTGACTGTTGTTACGTTTCCTATTTTCGTTTCTGTCTCTTAGTCTGAATAGCTTCACTGATTATATCTATTATTATTATTACTATTATTATTATTATTACTATCTCTTTTCTCTTGTCGACAATACCGAAGGACTAACTGGCGAAAGGATCAACTCCAATCACAGTAGTAACAGTCTTAACATACCTCATACTACAAACCACATATAATTAATCCCAGCACTACTCCCTTTGGAGTCAACCAAAGCTACGACAGTCGAGTGGCGGGACAAGCTACGCAGAAGTTTACCGAAGATCAAGAACCTATACCTCACAATCAAGAGGCGAGCACAAAGAAATCAAATTGGTTTATACTAGCTCGTAAAAACGATATTGGATATTGGATTGAAAATACAACTCTGACCTTGAAAAATGCGGTTATTCATAGTTTTATACTGTTACTGTGTTCTGATGGATTAAACTGACTGTTCTTTTTGGTTTACAAATAAGCATAGCAGGCTGCTTGCAAATATTGAGATGTTTCTACCAGAAAGAAAGGCCAGCCATTCCAGGGATACACAAGGAAATATTGTTGGCCTGGATTTTTCGGGCGATGATAGCTCGGACTCCGCATCAAAAGAATGGGTTTACACAAGATGGGCTAAGTGAGTCAAGTTTTTGATTTTATTAAATAATCCGTTTCTTCAAGTACAGGTATTTATTCTTTTAGGTTCTTTATAGGCATGGGAAATAATTCTGATCTGTCCTAAATATAAAAGAGAATTATGACGTAATTTAGGATTCTGGTGGCATTTTGGAAAAAGTGGCACTTTTCTTGATGCTTTCACTTTAAATTCCTCAAACTGCACTCAAAATTTCCGAATTTTATCCGCTGTCTTTTTATCTGGCATAATGACTTAAAGTTGTTTGCCAAAGAACGGCTAGAAAAACTTTCAGTTGGTGCTAAACCAATGAGGAAAGATATTACACAATCATGCTTCTCGCGTAAAGTCACATTATTCCCACATCTTTTCAGAATTAACTCAGCATGTAAAAGAGTGTTAGTTCCAAATTATTGTGGATTTAGGAGCACTCGTAAATTCAGATTTAGATTTATTGTTTTGGGATACAAGGCTTTGAACCTATATTAATCCTTTCCTAGTAAATATCTCTGGTTGTCCACACCCTTCTTGTGTGAATCAGTTGGGGTTGCAGACACCTCTTTTCTGGGAGCCTGTTCCAAGAGTTCGTGACTCTATGTGAGAACCATTACTCAACAGCCATATGATTTCTTCTTGGCTTTTGCACTCTCCTGCTATGTCCTGTAAGGTGTGCCGACCTGGTAGGAAGGAAAAGAGGGAATAGGTCAGGTCCGTAGTCATTATTTAAAGTTTTAAACATTGTGATCAAATCTCCTCTCCGCCTGCGGTATGACAGGGGGAGAGATTTAAACTGTCTAGTCTTTCCTCGTATGATGAATTAGTCATGCTGAGAATCATACGTGTTGCCTTCCTTTGAAACCTTTCTAGAATGCGTGAGTCCCCTTTTAGACAAGGACTGGCGGCCTGAATGCAGTTTGCCAGTCTTGACCTCATAAGAGGTGTGTATAAGGAGGTGCGGTGGACCTTTTACTCTGTTAGCGTATTATCCCAAATTCAAATAGAAAATAAAATACCAAATCAGTTTAGTTACGGGAAGAATATATTAAAGTTTCGTTACTTGGGTTTACAAAGATCCAAAATCCACAATAAACGTTATAGACTCCAGAGGTACTGCGGGAGGTCTGTTCCAATACTAATTCTCCACTGTTGACGTTTCCGGAGGTCGACCAAAGTACGTAGGAAGAAACTACGGTGCTCCTGCAAAAATTTGAGATAGAAAGCAGGTGATCAAAATTGATCGACGGCAGTTGAGATGGTGGAGAAGACGGAGAGTCGGAGGCAGAACTATATATTTTTTCAAAACCCGAGGTAAAGTTCAAAGTACAGAGTTTATGGTTAAAACAAAGTAATGTACAATATGTTCATTTCTTACATAGTAGTAAAAGTTGGATAAGTATATTTTTGAGGACTCCACAGAGGTGAACATATCCTCGGTGTTTCTAGTAAAGGATCTGCGAATTGCCTTTAAGGATCTGAAACTACGTGCAGCCACCGCGCGACAGTGTGCTATAGTTTTTAAATCCAAATGAGTCTGAACTGATGGAAGTGTTATTTCCTCTAGTTCGTAGGAGCTGATGCTTTCTTGTCCGATGCGCATGGTTGCGCCTTTTGCTACATTGATCGGGACCATCCATTCTCTGTACCACTCTTAAAATTGGTTGAGGTCCTTTCGCAACGTGAGCGTATCACTGTTGCCATTCAGCTCTCTCCAAATCTTTAAGTCATCTGCGTATAGGACTATAGGGGAATCAGTGAGCAGAGATAAATCATTGATATACAGAATAAATAGGAGAAGTCGGACCACAGTGCCTTGTGGTACTCACATATCAAATATTTACTTTGTTGAATTTTGCTTTGAAACTTATCTTCAGGAAGTTTTCGGAAGGCATTCTAAAAGATACTTAGGTTAGTGTATGTAAGTACCTTCTGGCCCAGCAGTTTATGACCGTACATTTACAAAACTCTCGTTTGGTTGAACTACAGCATAGTAGTCCTATTCTTTTAGTTTACGCATCAATTGGAACTTCATATTTAACCATTTGGAGCCTTGCAAGGGAGATAAACAGGCTATGACAGTTCCACCATATATGTATATATGTGTGTATCTGTAGAAACAGTTTTTCACTGAAGGAAATCTCTGGGAAAGACGTGATTACTAATCTTGGCAGGTGAAAGGCTTCAAGCATTAACCTCTCTCTTGGCATAGTGGTTAGGACTCTCGTTGACCATGATCGATCCCCTGCCGACGCACACCCGATATCTATGGTCGGCATGCAAAATTTGGGCTACCGATATCCATGCTGAAAATTTCATACTTGTACCGAAAATACGGTGTGGCATCAAGCTGTAATCAAAAGAAGCTTCAAGTATTTCGTCTTTTGTCCCTCTCTAAGGTGACTCCCAACAAATGTCTTTGTGGAAGTAAAATAATTCCAGTGATCAGCCGTTAAGTTATTATTCATGATGTACCATTATCGAAAGAAAACTAGATCTTTTGCCCAGCATTTTTAGTGAGAAGAGGTTGAATTATGAGTGGAATGCAGAACTGTGTACAGCAGAATCCAGTCTATTTTCATTCAGTCTGCTGATTTTACTCTGAACCTTACTTTTTGTCATGCGTGTAGCCCCCTAATTGACTTTTGGTTGTTGTTCTGATTAGCTGAATTTTCATGATTCATGGTGACCCAGTGTCTCAAAATTCTCTCAAGTGTGCTAATAAATAGTAGTCTGCGTCATATAACCCATCATTATATGTGAAACTATATTTATTGGTTCATTTAACAAGTGTATCACTCATTTATTTGATTTTGTTCGGACACCGATGGATGGTCAAGTTTGGGGAGCTCTATAAATCAGCTTAATTAGCATTTTATTTTATCCTTGCACTACACCAGAATCGAACATATCATCAGGTTTGTGTGTCGCCACTAAAAGTTGATACATTCGTAAAACCAAGCCCAGCTTTCTCTTCTGACAGTTAAATCTATCACTCATTCATTTGTTAAAAGAATGATATGTTGTTATGATAATTTTTGTTTCTGACAAACTCAGACTTTTATATTTGGTTCTATAAGGTGGTCGAGCCTGATGTATAGCAAAAACATATAAAATGAAATCTACAGAAATTAGAACGACCTAGGTGTCAAGAATAAATTTATCATCAGTTTATAATAAGATTGTTTCGAATTAACCTGTTTCATGACAGTGACTTTCAGTACACTCTACCAAACCGAAGTTAGCTAGATCTTCAGATGTTTTCCTATTTAGACTTTTGCTTGAGGTTGAAAGGTTTTAAACCAGTGTTAACACCTTTCTAATAAGCATATGTGTTTGCCTAATCTCTGCTTTAATAAATCAAATGAGGCAACAGAAACCACTTCACTCGGGAGTCGGTTCCACAATTCAAGGAAAGAGTAGGAGGACCAGTACTCCACAGCGATACAGTACCTCCTTGCCATTTGAATTCTTCTGCCACACCCCCCTGAAACACTCTAAACATGCTTTAAGTTAAAAAAACAATATGCAGTAAGTGGCAAAGTGAAACCGAATTGAAGTTTTAACACCTTCTACGTCACTTGCCTGAATACTATTCAACAATCAGAGAAGAAAACCGCTGCGCAGTGTAGTTGACAAAATTCACAATTCCAGTTTTTGTTTTACTGCCCAAGAAGGAGTCATTCTTCTAATGTTGTCATGAAGAAATTCTCTTTCAGTTAATTACCTATTCCAATCGCTACTTTCGTTATTTTCAAGTATTGGTTTTGTAGGGATTTTGTTTGATTACATGGAGGATTTCATCATGAGCTAACATCAGTGGGCAGTAACTCATTGAATTGGCAGAAGTTATAATTCAAGAACCATTGGATCGGTTCCCAGTGGCTTAATGGTCTACGAGCTTACCTTGTAACCAGAAGGTCCTGGGATCGAATCCCGGTGGGTGCATACAGATGAAGAGTCCCAAACTAGGAGGAAACAGGTTTTCCAGTGGTTCTCTCACCAATGTCAGCTCATGATGAAATCCTCCATGCAACACATTCGTAATTCCAATTTTAGTTCATTGAGGATGCCTATTACAAATTTAAAAGGACTAGTTAACGACCAAAGATTATTATTTTCGATAAATTCATCATCATGGTCTAATTTTAAATGGCCATAATAATTAATGATGTATTTTTATCGACAAAATTTATGCTGAATGGTCTACGAGCTAGCCTTGTAACCAGAAGGTCGAGGGTTTGAGCTCTGGTGGCGGGTGCGTACTGCTAAATAGTCCCACATTAGGACAAAACAGCTGTTCAGGACTCCCCCGCGGTTTGTTTCCAATAGTTCTGCAACTGATATCAATCCGTAGTCAAACCTGGAACAGGTCAAGCCCCCTAAAAACAACCTCTTCAACACTGATTCTACTTTAAATTACACTGAGTTAATAGTACGTACAGATTACATCTCTTTGATTGGATACTAGTAACTAGTGTGATACGTCTAGTCCTTTCTTCGGTGCAGACTGAATTCCGTCAGTCAGATTTGCATTGTGGCCGTCATTCTGGATAGCTCTCCATCAGCAACAAAGACAGGACTTCAAGTGAACATAGAGAAGATACACCAATGACTACCAACGAAAGAAATTTGAAAGAGGTTCATCCTTCCACTTATCTAGGAAGCATCATTTCAACTATAGGCAGGCGCCACGAATGAGGATGTCAAATCTAGAATTGGAAAGACAAGACAAACCTTCATCAATCTCAAGTCAGTTTGAAAGTTTTCTCCACTCTGCAGCATATAAACAACAAAATGCTGATTTTTAAACGCCAATGTAAAGTCAGTTACTTCTTTTATATGAGTCATAAACTTTGAGAAGGCGTCACGGGAAGCATTTCCAACAGGCTACTGCAGAATTTATTCAACAGCTGCCATCGCTGGCTCCGTATATAGAAGATCGGATGGCCAGCTGACCGGGAAGAATAGGCTACGTTAAACTATAGGGATGAACCAATAGAGAACCT